TGTGTAATTAATGTGAATAAACACAGCTTCTCTGTGAGGGTTTGTCACAGACATCTGCAGCACAGTTGGCGAATTAGACCTTAGTTCTCATCGTTACAAACGCTCAACTGAAGTCCTCCGCATTAGGGTCTATGCATACTTTGGTTTCTGCATCTTTTACTATCAGATAATGATTATCTTAAAGAATCAAACAGGACTGACCCACAGCTCATCGAAAAGGTCATCAAAGCGTTTTGTTAAAATCTGAATCCAGCGAACTGCCGGGCCAACTTACCCACAGATGTGGGCATCTCGCCCCACTGCAGCACCACGTCTTTGGTGATACGCCCATAGGTGTTGACGTAGACGCCCTCATCCTCGTAGCACAGCAGCATCTCCATGCCGTCCGTCTTGGGCAGGACCACGATGGCGTGTGGGGTAACCTGACCCTGAATCTGTAGGGTACCAGAGACAGAGGAAACTAAACTGCTGTGTTCTCCTGCTTCCCAGCCATGGAAACAGACATGAGCATAGCAGGAATCAAGAGTGCCAAAAAGCAACGAGAGGCGGTTCCTATGGTTACAGTTTCCGATTTCGCATCCATGTCTGACTGAAACCCTGCCAGGGTTTGAGGAGGACACTGACAATTTCGTTGTTATGTTTTTCCTGACATACGGTTAGATTTATTTAAACGCACAATTGTGCAAAATTCTGAAGTCATCTCTCCTGTCAAGGAGCCAGACTTTTATTTATTATTTCAATGTGGGTCAGAAAAACATATTCTAAGCTTTTTCTTTTTTGGACATTTGCTGTTTTCCTTGCTTATTTTTTGTCTCAAACACCTAAACGTTTTAGATTTCTGCTTGAATAAGATTACTGGAGATGGAGCAGCAAATAGGTCAGAATGACTCGTAGGTTAGATTTAGGGGGTTTTCCAGACTGAAAACAGTCAGACACTGCATGGAAAATCAGAGTTTAAAGTTAAACTCTCCAAGAACTTTGGGGAAATACTGATGGAGACCAGCTTGAAGGATATAAAAAGGTTGTTTGAGACGAAGTATAAATAGAGGAGGTTTTGGAGCTTCTTCACAATAATATCAAAGACACTGCGGTGGACAATCCATCTTCTTCATGAATATTAATTCGCCCTATCCAGGGTTTGTCAGCTCGTTAATCTGAAACTGAATTATTAAACATTATCCTTTTACTCACTGAGTCAACTTTGTTCAATTAATCACAGTGTTTCGCTCTGATTTTAATAAATAAAGTAAACCCTCATCCATCAGCGCAAACTTTACATTGTATTTAAACTTTAGACACCCAGTAGCTTCTAAAGACCCATTTTAAATCAGATCTAGCAGTACTAATCTATTATTATTTATTACTTTTAGCAAACAACTCATTTTAATTTCTATATTTGTAGTTTATCTTTTATTTCATAGCATAAAGAGATAAGTAAAAAAAAACCTCAGCAAACTTAGAAATAACATTAGCTGCTTTATAGCAACAAAGCTTAGAATGTGTGGTTTGGATTTTAAGCAAATCAATGCAGAAAATAACAACAAAAAGCCAAATGTTGTTTTTTTAAATCTCTTTTTTATGAATAAGACAATGAGGTCTGAAGATGATTAAAAGTTGATAAACAGTTTGTGGGACATCCTTTCACTGCAGTTCCAGCTACAGCTCCTCTAAGGTTGGTCTCTATCAGCTCTTTACATCTAGAGATGAAATTTTTTTAATCCTTTCTCTTAAGATAAAAAAAGATACTTTTAGGAGAAGTTGTACTTTCAAGAACTTTTTACTTTTGTTTGGGTAATACTGTAGTGAGAGTATTGCTACTTTTAGATAAAGTTTCTGTTTTTTTCTATCCACCACGAGTTTTACAGTAAAAGCTAGTTATCACTAGAGGTAGGTTATGGTTTTCCTCACATGTGCCTTGCATACTGTACATTTTGGTTTTTATAGGTTTAAAAAAAAAAAAATGTGAAACTTCTGTGTGAGTTTGTTATTTTACCATGCACTGCAAAAATGATCTAGAAACAGGTCAAAATGTCTTAAATCAAGTGTATTTACCCTCAATTTGAGTAGGTAAGTAAGATGATTTTCCAATGGACTGAGGATTTATACGCTGAAACAAGGTAATTAGATAATATGCACTCGAAATAAGGCAATGAAATAGTTGTTTTCTTATTTTAAATGTAAACTCTTTTTCCATTGGCAAAGTGTCTGACTTATCTCCTCAATTCAAGAAAGAATGACTTATCTAGGTTTACACTTTTTCCAGGGTGTTCTTTGTTTATTTTGTTTTAATTCTGTTTTAATTCTTTTAAATGGCAGAATTTGGACATGTTTCTCCGTCTGATTACAACGTTTAAACATTAGATCTGATTTTATGAGCTCAGTGCTCAGAACTAAGTATCTATTTCACTAAGTATGTTTTAAATCTACCCCGAGTGACTGATTGGATTACCATTTTTACTCCAGGTAAATTGTTGGGTAATCTACCCACCACTGATTACAAGCTAGATTTAGCTTCTGGACTTTGACTAGACCATCATAATACATGAATATGCTTTGATCTAAACACAATTGGATGTCTTGTTGAATCTTTATGGAGGGAATTTTGATTCCTTATTGTTGCAAGTAAAAAAACACATTTTCGATTTTGAAAATTAAAAAAAACAAGAAAGGCAATCAGAAATCAGTTAGAAAAAATGTTTTAATTAAAAAAAGGTTGCAAGAGCAACTTTGCTGTTTTCTAAGATTTTTGTAAAATCATTTCTCATACTTTATATTTCAAATTTTATCTTCTCAAATTTTGAATTTTACTTCCTGAAATGTATCATTGTAATTATTATTATTATTATTTTTTTTTTTTTACAGATTTTAGTTTTTCAAAACAATATTTTGCTTTATTGGTAAAATTTCTCTTTTTCAAATTAAGGTTTAAAATTGTTATTCTTTTCAAGATGTTTTTCCAGGTCACATCCTCTACACTACGGGGGTCTTTCCTTGAAGAGCAAAGATGAATTTCTGCTGGTCTGCATTGATGTTAGCAGCTATTGGTCATGAACGAGCGTTTATACTGGGCTGGAAGTGAAGAGAATTTAAAAGTGGGTTTGAATAGAATGTAGAACTCAATCTGAGAAACACATATTTGAAGAAAAAAACATAAAAAATCTAAAAAAAAAAAAAAAAAAAAAGAAGAAAAAAAAAAAAAAAAAAAAAGAAAAAAAAAAAAAGAAAAAAAAAAACCTTTCCTTTAACAAAAAAATTTCAAAATATCAAATGTATAGAAAATTTAGTTAGCATTTCTTTTCTTCAAATCTCCATTTAAAAAACTGTTTTTTGCAGGCAACAACAATCGCACAAAATTGACTCCATAAATATTCAGTATACTGTATTCAGTATACTGGAACAAATCTCTCTAATCTTTTCCCATCTCTAACAGATTTTCTTCCAGAATTGTCTTAGATTTAGCTCCTTTCATTTCTCCATAATAAAAGAAGTCATGTATCATTTTCCTCCCATTACTTGTGCTAATAGTTTACATAAAATCCCAAAATGTTGAACAGTTTAATAAATCCTTGTATGAAGCTTTTAATACTGAGATCAGGTCCTTAAAGTGGGAATAAATTTGATTTCCCCCACAATATAAAAATACCAGATCACAGACACACTCTTACTTACATGTGAGGGGATGTATATGTCATACGGGTTTCCAGAGTCCACATCTATCACATGGAAACCAACAGTGGAGCCATAGATGACCTTTAACCGCTGGCCCTCTTCCACGGTTAAATCTACCAGCAGGGGGCGATGTTGAAGATCTGTAAAAGACTGACACAGACAGAGAGAAGGATAAAGACATTTAATTGCTGAGCTTTAACCATGAATCTCTCTGTAACTCATTTCTGATGAGGTGTGTTTTCTGACCTCTTGGTCAGAAAACACACCTTAAATCCAAGAGGAGAAAGTACGGTGAACAACAGGTGACAAAATTAGCTTCAAAAACATATTTGAACTTTATTGATCTCACACTGGAGAGGTTTACCTCTGCATTTTAACCCTTGGGGAGCAGTGGGCTGCCATTGTGCGGCGCCTGGGGAGCAGATCCACCTCATTTTGGGTAATTCTCGCCTATTTTGCATACCCCAATGCAAAAGCTAATAACTTAGGATTTTTAAGCCCAAATTACATGTGTAATACATTATTTGAAAGCTAACACCCTGTAGTTTCCGAATATATAAATGAAAATTGGGTTAGTAGAACACAGACCAAGCTGCATCGGTTCAAACATGACTTACAGTTGTTTCTGTTTATTCTGGAAAATGATAGGTCTTCTTTGGAACAGCAGTAATAAATACATACATGAGAAAAGGCAGGTCTCATTGTATTCCCTTTGTTCTACATCATGTCAACCACAAATGCAAAAAATTTCAGCTACAATAGTTCCAACAGTTTGGGTGTCAGCAGTGTCTCCAAATGTGCCAAATGTTTTTACTATGCTTTGCTTTACTATTTGACCCATAAAATGAAACTGAAGCATTTTGATAGCCCCAAAACATTTATAAAGCAAGTATTCCCCACTTTTTTTCAGAATCAGAAACAAAATGTAGAATTTCTACATCTATAATAACATAAAAATCAGTAAAAGATAGTGAAACTGCTGCTTTTCAAGCTAAAATAAGCCCCAGTGCCTTTTTTTCAGCCTTAGGCATTGTAATAAAACGAAATAAGCATCCAAACTTAGGAAATTAGGACCGCTGTGTCACTCAGCTTGGAGCTGCATGCATCGAACCAGCTACAGCTGTGTGTTTCACAGCAGGACTCTATGAGGCGTAATATCACACATCACTGGTTGACAGGAAGTGAGATTTTAGGGACTGTATCTGGTTCAAATCGTGTCATACAAAGATGTAGACACTTTTGTCTTGTAGATAAGAAGATGATGTAAAGAATCATACCAAACATCTCGGGCTAACAACCCAGGAAATAAGTATTAGGAAGTAAATATTAACAAGATACTGAGCATTAGTTATGACCAGCTAACTTTTTTGATGTCAACAACCAGATGTTATGGAGGATATTCTAATCATGGAATATTTTTATTACGAATATGCTGGATTACTTTTAATCTGTGGACCCGAATGGAGTTTAAACAATTGAAGATTGCAATTATAAAACGGCTCCTGGATGCCTTCACAGGTATGTTTTTGTGGCTGCTTTGCCATGTTTACATTTTGACATGCTGCTATATCTGTGTTCATTGTGCTTTGGTGCTCACTGTGTCTAGAAAATGAACTAGGTGGTTGAATTGTTGATAATCTAAGCTTTCTAATGATGTCTAACATGTCTATAGTGGTAAACATTTTACAGGTGGAACCTTCATGCATTCTGAGTTTTTCTCAAAACTGAAACACCGGCGACCCGGTGGGTTTGGAGAGGTTAAGGCTCTTGCTCAGAGACCCAGAGTGGCAGCCGTGGGGATCGCCCCGGGTACTAGTAACCTTCTCAGAGCACAAGCACAAGGCTCTAACCACTAGGCCAACAACCCCATTAAAACAAGGATGATGCAAACCAAAAAAAATGTAAAATCGCTCCACAATCCAGGAATCACAATAACCACTAAATCAAATGAGACCAGACTGTCAGCAGAGACATTTCCAGGAACATTGGATCAAAAATAAAGGAAAGTTCTGTTTACTTGACTTAGTGATTGGCTCCCCCTAGTGGTTTAGTGGAGTGTGTTGATGGTAAACTTTTAACTTGTCTAAATACTTGTATATAATATATGTAGCAATGTGACGTCTTGTCTCCAACACAAATAAGTTGAACACGTACAGCTTGTTGTTCTTACCTTAAAGGCCATAAATTTATGATAAGGTTTTGGTGCCCAGGCGTAGATTTCCACTGAGTTCTTCAGAGCAATCACCAGGAATTTAATCCTCTCGTATTTCACTGCAGGAAAGTTTAAAAAAACATGTCAGAAATGAAAAAAGAAATGCCTGAATAGTATAATTAACAATAAAAGTAGCAATAAAAAAAAACTCCCTCTAGTTGTGTGTGATGGTTTTGTAAGCTGACAACATACCAACTTTATAGTGCACACAGCCCTCCAGCTCCCCCACTGTGATCCAGCCCTGCTTCTTCTCCACCTCGGGGTCGTTGTGTAATATCCTGTTCCTCAGCCAGGACAGGTAGTAAACTCGGAGCTTGTTCTTCTTCCCTGCAGAAGAGGAAAATAGGGGTTTGTTTTTCAGCTGATCAGCAGATCTGGATCAAATAAAGATGTTTCTCTTCACATTTAGAGTGAAATAAAAGGCTCTGATTCAGACTTATTCTTTCTCTTTAGCTGTGCGACCACAGAGAGACCTTATTGGGGAGGAACTCCTGAATGAGATTCTCTGCAGGTCAGGAGATCTCACTCCCAGACTGCTCAAAAGCTACTAACTGGGCAGGCTGGTTATGGCAGAACCAGACTGCAGCAAATAAGAACCTAATATTCTCTCTCAGTCTAAACAGTGGTTGAAAAGTTATTCATCTCAAGATATAAGGTTGTAATTCTTTGTAAAGAATCAACAACAAGTGGGACATAATCATGAAGTAGAATTAAATTAATTGGATGTTTTAAACTTTCGGGAAACAAAAATATTATATTGAAAATATAATATTGAAAAGGAAGGAGTATCAGACCCCTGTGAATCTACAAAGACCCGGCTGTTTCTCTAAACTTTCCAGTCAAACAAAGAGAAGACTGGTGCCTGTGATCACTCTGGATGAACTGCAGGGATCCATAGGAAAACAATCATATACTGCATAAATCTGGCCTTAATGGAAGGGAAACATTTTCAAAATGCAACTTTTAGGCAACAAAACGTTATGTTTGGTGTAAAAGCAACAAAGCATCATGATTTGGGCTTGTTTTCCCCAGCAGGTTCAGGGAAGATGGTTCAAATTGATGTAGAGATGAATGGAGCTAAATACAGGAACATTCTGGAAGAAAACCTGTTGGTAATGATGGGTCCACCGATGCCTCAATGCATGCGTGGAGAACCATAGAGCAAAACACTGTCGTCAAAAGTCATGTGACCGATACAGGAGTTGTTTCTAACTAACTGACTTACTAAACTGTGTTTAAAATCGAATTTGTCAACATGATGTGCCTGCTAAAAAAATCTCTAATCTTTTGCAGTTTATCATTAAAATTAAATTCAATTAAATTTTTGGAGCAGCTGAAAAGGAATAGGATTATTTCAGCCTTTGCGTTTTTATTTTAATTTTCTCTTTGTGTCATCCTTTTCCTCTCAGTTATTAATCAACTTATCTGAATTAAAGGTAATTTGAAATTGATTCTTAGTGTATTTACTGTTTTTACTGTACTTGTTGTTTTAAAGTTGTTTTAAAAACCTAATCCACCAGCATCCTCATTCACATTTCCCCCTAAATTTTCACATAATATTTGCTTACATCATTTATTGCTGCATCTAAAAATATCAAAGATATTTTCAATTTAAACATACTATATTAAATAGTATAATATAACCTACAACAACTGAAATTATATCATTGTACTCGGTCATCAAATCAATTCAGTTTAGTCTTTCAAAAAAGAACTGCCTGTAGTGGCTTTAAATGTCCAGCAGGTGTCAGTATGCTGTGAGACAGAATCAACGCAGCATCAATACATTTTAGCTTCAAGATGCCTCATTAACCATCACCTGTTGGAGTCTGCAAAAGACCTAAGACTGAAATGTATCTTCTAACACGACAATGATCCACAATATAAAGCTACATCTAAAGTGGAATGGTTCACAAATAAACGTATCCAGGTCTTAGAACGGCCTAGTCCAAGTCCAGACCTGAATCCAATGGAGATCTGTGGAAAGAACTGAAAACATCTGTTCACAACTGCCCCCTGCAACCTCACTGAACTGCAGCTGCTTTGCAGGAAGATGGACAGAAATGTCCGTCTCTCAATGTGCAAAACCAGCAGAGGCAAACCTCAAGCAACTTCCATCTGTAATCGCAGCAAAAGGTAGCGCTACAAAGTATTAACTCAAGGGGGCTGAGTAATTTTGCACACCCACTTTTGCAGTTTATTTCTTAAAAAAAAGTTTAACACTTTTAATAAATTGTGTTCCACATAATAATTGTTGTTTTGTTCCATATAAATAGTTTTATATATTTATATTTGAAGCCCGGAATTTGGTAAAAGACCCAAAAGTTCAAGGGGGGTGAATACTTTTGCAAGGCCTTGGAAACCAACAAATCAGGAAAGCAACAAAGGACCCACCTGGCCTCCTGGCGAGGCCGTCTGAACAGAGATCACCCAGATCAGACCCAAACTAAGCCTTCCAGAACTTTGGACATCTCATCACCTCAACTCAAAAGTAGATCAACACAGGAGCTGATGTTTTGATTATTTGTAATTTTTAATTCTGTTTCTTTGGTTTGTTTTATGTTTTGATTGCGATGTTTTCTAATTGAAAATGTACCTCAAGAGGGCAGTCTCTACACTGATGGGGATCATTAAATAAAACAAATAAACAGAGATTACAAGTCTGGCAAAGTTAGGGAAAGAGTTTCCAGCTGTTTTTTAGGATTTCCAGTCATATTATGTTTACTGTTGAATAAGGCAAGCTACAAGAGGTTTGGCTTCCCATCCAGGAAGCTTTTTCAATTTGAAAAAATGAATTGAACTGAAAAAGCTTCCTGGATGGAAAGCAAAACCTGTTCAAACTTGAAAACAAAGTCCAGTGGATTGTTTTTAATTTTCTTTTTTTTGAATGACTAAACCAGCAAACGCTGACATGTTTTGAGCTGTTATTTGTAAAATTAGGACAAACATTATTCCCAGAAGGTTTTAAACACTAATATAAAGTCAACGTTCATGTGTTTTATGTTATGCTCATTATATTTGATCACTCAAACATAACCAAAGAATCCTTTAAAAAGGAGCAGTGACAGATTGGGCAACACTGATGAGTTTGTGCAGGTATTGAAGTCACAGAGCAAAACCCCATATCGGTGTGCGTATCACTTTAAGAAATAAGTCATGCGATCAATACAGTGGCAGTTTAACATGTTACAGAGGAGCCAAACTGTTTTAATAAGGCAGCACATCTGGATCACTTCTTCTTCCCATTCAGACATTTTGAAAACAAAAGAAAACATTTAACATTTTAATTTAACAACAGAAAATAAGATATCGGTTTGTATTTCCTCCCTCTCTGCCAGCTTCATCGATCAGACTCCAAATACATTTGGAGTGACTCAGGTTTATTGACTCCATTTATTCTCACAGGTTAAATGTCACATTTGTGCAACTAAACTGTCATAAATAAATCAAAGCCTCTCCTCAACGCTCCGCATTAGAGCGAGGCATCAACAGGACTGTAGAGACTCAGAAACCATCCTATCTGTCTGAATCTGTGTGAAGCGCAGCTGGCTGGATCAAACAAACATGCTGAGCCTCAGGTGATTTAATACCACAGCAGGTATCAAGCTTCCAGGAAGGACCAGGCAGTGTTAAAGTTTTATTTTCAAGGATGGCCATTCTCTCAGCACGCAGAGGGAGGAGTTCAGGGAACTGCTCAACCATCATGAATATTCAGAGAGCTTTTTCATGACTTGCCTTAAAAATAAAAACAGAATGAACTAAATACCAGATTCTTCCTGTATCAATGGCAATTTAATAAGCAGCATCACATCCACAAAACCTTTACTTTACCTTTGATGTATATTTAGAATATATGAAACATATTTCACACTTTAATCGTTTTGATTGAGGTCTAAAATAATACAATATGTCATACAATAAATAAATTACTGTATATATGAAGTAATCAAATCTGTGTGTCTGATGCAATGGTGTTAAAGATCCAGCAGGTGTCAGTATAGAGCAACAAAGTAACCAGTATGAGTAGTTTGGGGAGTGTGTCCCAATCAATGATCTCTATTTATTCACTGGTTTGCTGATTGCCAGTTTGTAGTACCAGGTTGAAGTAAAGCCACCGGCCGCCATATTGGTACTCCCTAGTTAGACCGATCACAATGTAAACAATATGAGTGCTACAGCATCAAACAATGATGATGTTGTGATAAATTCATCACTTTGCATAGCATAGCATAGCATAGCATAGCATCAGTAGATTACTTTAACTTAGAATTAAAAAAACATAGTTATATCGCATAGTCAGTATAAAGTCAATAAAGTCTCTAAATCATGTAATAAAACATATTATACAAATCCATCACAATAAAATTAATGTGATAATGGAGCATAATAATACAGATGTGCCAAAAGTGCTAAACTGATGATGTTCATGTAATATAAATGTATTAATTTCATTGTTATGGTAATTACATCTTAGATATCATTTTAAGATTTTGCATCAAGACTGAATGTCTGTTAATGCTATGGTATTTTTCTATTTGCAGATTATGCATGAATGATATAATTTATGTTGTGTCTGTGCATTAGCATTTAAATCTGACATGTTGAAATATAATATTTTAATTAATAAATTCTTGAATTTATTCTATATCTGTGCAGAAATATCTTTTTGACCATGAATTGAGCTTAAATCACACTTTCATTTGTTGTTCTAACACACAGCTAGAAGGGTGTGTTCACAAAACAACACATGACCATGAGGGATACAACAGTATTTCATTACAAAACATTGGAGATATTCATTTAAATGGATAAATCCAGTATAAATGCTAAAGTGGTGCATTTATTGTGCTTTTTTAGTCTAATTGTTAAATCTGTAGAAAGTAACTAGCTTTCTGGAGCGTCTAACAGGCGTCTGACAATCATCTTCTCCTCAACTCTGACCAGCTTCTCTATCAGTGCTGCAGATAAAGACACCACAGAATGATGCTGCCACCGCCATGTTTTAAAATGGGAATACTGTCCCAACTATAATGTAAGTTAGCATAGAAACATCCTTTATCTTCTCTAAATGGGGAAAAGGAAACATGCAGATTTATAGAAAGATAAAAAAATGATACTAGAGATAAAGGAATACTGACGTGGCTGTCAGTCAAATTTACATTAGAAAACCTGTTTTGAATGTAGACTGTAAAAGTTACGGTTTAATTTGAGCAGAACAGTCTATATTTTCCCCTATATTTGATTTTCTTTTTCCCTCTTTGATAAAGATGATATTAGCTATTTTTATAGTTTCTCATGTAGACAGGTTCTCCTATCTAAGCTGAGGGTGTCTGCAGAATCAGTCCTCTAAGGAGGTTTGGTATTAAACATATCGACCTCGGGTCTTAGACTGACCTGAGATGGTGACTAAAACATTGAGTCCCTCCAGAACGTCCATCTGTTGGAAGCGCCTTCGATTGATCAGGTTGTAAACTTTGCCCTGGCCGCTTCGGTCCAGCAGCATCAGGCCGTTCTCTGTCCCCACCAGCAGATTCACTCCTACAAACAGAAAAAAACCTTTGACTTCCTGCAGCCACACAGATGTTAACGCGTCCTCTAGGCGTCCGCTGGCGTCTCACCCCACAGAGCAGCGCAGAGGATCTCAGAGTTGAACCGCTTCTTGTATTTTCGGATCTCGGGCGTGTCGCTGTGCGGCCGGATGTTGGTCGGGTTCACGTTGACCACAGAGATCTTCCTGGCCTCGTTGAGCCTCGCCTGCTCCTGCTCCTGTTTCAGCAGCTCGTCGGCAAACAGAGCTGTAGCACAACAACAGAAAGACTTTCAATAATTCATCTGATGATGGAAACATGTTAACAGCTTTAGAAAATAATGACATTCTTGTCACATCTTCCTTTCTTTCTAATGGACCTCAGGACTTTTAGAACAATCCAAACTAATCATTTTCTGCATCCTAAGACATCTGGATCTTCTCCCTGGAGGAAAGGGAGGTGAAACCAATGAGGACGAGAAACGTACCTGCAGCAGAGCTCTTCTCGTCATCGTCAGTCGGAGAGGTGCCGTACACCCTGGGATCGACAAACGGGGTGAAGGAAGCCTTGGAGCCTCCGCTGCCTCCCATCCCGTACTGCAGAAACACAGCAAACGTTCAGAACAAAATGAAGGAAACATCGGCTTTGGCTCTTAACACGCGTTCATTATCAGACTCGTTTCCTTTATGTCAACCAGAAAGGAGAGAACTTCCTGGTTGAGATGCTGGAAAAACTGAAAGATGGAGGTAGAGAGGGAGAAGATGGGGCATGATTAAGCCTGATAATGAAGGAAGTGAACTCTACATGATCCACGTTTAGTAAAAGGAGACACATTTATTTAGCACAATATTAAAAAATGAGCAAATTAAACTTTGTTTTAAGATCTTGCTTTTAAAGAAATGCATAAATTAGACAGTTTCAGCTCTTCATAGAGTGATGGTAACAGGAACGCCTTCATCACTACTGGTGCCGTCAGTTGTGACCTTAGAGGAGAACTATTGAAGCCTTTCAGTTTGGTCAATTTCGATCGATCATTTCTGGAATATTTAAAGTGCATCAGTCCAGATATTTACAGTACAGACCAAAAGCTTGACACACTTTCTCATTCAAAGAGTTTCCTTTATTTTCATGACTATGAAAATTGAAGATTCACACTGAAGGTAGTAAAACTATGAATTAAAAAAACTTGGAATTATATACTTAAAAAAAGTGTGAAATAACTGAAAAAATGTCTTATATTCTGCTCCTTTTGCTTTGATTACTGCCTCATCCGTTCACCTTTTCTGCGTCGCTCAAAGACACGATGGTTGGAACAAAGATCTTGAATTTGGACTCATCAAACCATTTTTCGGACTGACTGACCTTCATTTCGTAAAGCAATGATGGCCACTAATTTTTCTTTACTTAGCTGCTTTTTTCTCCCCATAATACAGATTCTAACAGTCTATTCAGTAGGACTATCAGCTGTGTATCCACCTGACTTCTGCATAACACAACTGATGGTCCCAACCGCATTTATAAGGCAAGAAATCCAACTTATTAAACCTGACAGAGGACACCTGAAAATAAAGTAGCCTCTGAGAAGGTGTGTCCAAACTTTTGGTCTGTACTGTATGTAGGAAAACATCTCTGTGGCGTAGCCATATCATTATCGTATGGGTGGCAGGGCAGGGAGCGATATACACTGAGGGGTCGGAAAAAATATAGAGGCTTCATCGGAATGTCTGGCCTAATAACTATAACCAGCATTATATACTGGTTACGCCATTTTAAATGAGTTTCCGAATGTCTAGTGGATGAAAACGTAGTAGAGTTGAAATTTCCAATAATGCATCATGAAAAGTAGTGATCATCATATATCCCAGAATGCTTTGTGAGAGATCTCTCCCCGCAAAGCATCCTGGGATTTATTGTGACAGCGGGCCGCTACCAGGTAGTGTGAGCAGCGAAAAATAACAAAGATGGCGCAGGCTCCATGTGGGGAGGAGGAATTACGTGACCAACTGGGAGCAAAAAGTAGTGATCATCTGTCCAAACGGTAAGTTACAGAAGGAGCCATTTAAAATTTCCCCATTTTTCTTTATGGGCCCTTGGCTGGTCCCCTATGATTCCTTTTTAAACATCAATCTTTGTACTAAAATATTCCTTCTGTCATCATTTGTGGACATTAACATCTAAAGAGAAGCTTTATCGTGTAATTCAGTGAAGTTGGCTGTCATTAAGCTGGCGTTTGACAGGGAAGGACCATTTTGAATGGCTGCTACTGTAACTGAGTTCACTATAAAGTCCACATAGTTATATAGATTATATATACTGTATAGATTATATAGTTCCTGTTCTACATAGTGATTAAGGGATTTAGGGGTTAGGGTGGATGTTTGGACACAGCCTTAGACTCCAGGGCCAATCTACACTAATCAGACTGTACAACAGGAAAAAGAAGAAGCAAAACATCTGCATTTTACAAATAAATCCCTATAGACTGATTAAATTTTCCCAAAGACCTTTGCTAATAAATGTATGAAAAAGTTGAAACAAATATGTAACCTTCTACTTTACCCTCCTTTTTTTATTTACAAGTCATGACATGAAGAGGAAAGCTTTAGAGGAGAGTTAAGTCCAGAGTGTATTTTTGGAGGAGGCAGCAGGGAGGAGCTATTGTGCAAGTGAAGGTAATTCTAAAATAATGCAGGCATTTCTACGTTTCAGGAAAAATCCACTATACCTTTAATCGGTTATCAAAATATGCGTACATTAATACTGAATAGTCCTTATTTAGCTCTTTTTTTAAAGTAACATTTATAGATATTAATTACTATTAATTGAGTAACTACGTTAGGAACGCAGTTACTGCTCAATGAAAGCAACTACTTGCTAGGCAAAGTAAATATTAAGTCACTTTTTATGATCTATAATGTGGGGAAACTTGGAAACCGTTGTAGTTATGAGAAGTTTAAATGCATCTGGAGGTTCAATTACAGAAAATCCAACCCATTGTAAAAACACTGTACATTACAGTACTTATTTGTTGATTTATTTACTTATTTTGTTATTTTTATAGACCTTCCTAAGGTCCACATTGTGTGACAACTTCTGCTATAAACTTTTGCAACTGTAACGCCAGAATTTCCACATTGTAGGACAATAAAGTGATTTTCTATTCTATTCTATTCTATTCTATTCCAATCTATTGTAATGTCTAATGGATTCTAGACGTCATGAAGAATTTTCCCCAGTGGGAAATTCACGGGGAATTTCCCACTGGGGAAAATTCTTCATGACGTCTAGAATCCATTAGACATTA